TTTTTTTATCATCTTGTTATTACTAATTTTTTTTAAATATATTTTAATTTTATAGGAGATTTTCTAACTTGTTATCATTTAAAAAATATTCAAAAACATAATCAATCCTATATCAAAAAATCTTTATATACTATTTCTGTTCTTTAAACCCTTGCATCAGACTTAACTTGCACTCAGTATTATCCTACAACAACTAACCCTTGTGAACTTTTTAATGACTTTTGGAATTGGTATTCTCAAACATATAATGCTACAATATATAGTAAAATTATCTATTCTAGCTTTTATCAATTAGTTACTACTAATAAAACCAAAGCTTATATAGCTGTTCGCAATATTATTGTTAGCTGCCAATATCAAGAAACAGTACTTGAACTTCTATTTTCTCCTAATATAGTCTAGTATTTTCCAAATTTGAAAATTGATTATCCACTTAGTAAAAGAATTTTCTAAAATTAATTTTCTATGTAAACAATAGTATTCAATAATATTTTTTTACGTTCAAAAAAATTTCACTTAACAAAATTTCAAAATAATTAGTATAGAAAACTTTGATAAAGTATGCAGTTTAGGGATCTATAAGGATCTATGAGGCTTAAAAATATAGTTGTCTCACAATAAAATATACAAATGCTAATTGATACAAATTCAGCCTTATCAAAGTATTTAGAATTATCTTCTTGCAGATCTGTTGCTAAAAAAAGAGTGATCTTTATATATCAAATTTGGAAATATCCTAGATTGCAATATGTTACAAAATTCGATTTTATCACATATGATAATCAAAACATACCAAAAAATTTGATTATAATATTATATAATATTTTTGTATTTGTGTGATATATCGATCATTTAACCAAACTAATAAAAAATTAATATAGTAATATTATTGGCAAAGCTTAATTATATTTTAGATAGTAATTCTGCTCTATGTACTTTTCTGCTATCTACTTTTTACCAAATATATTATATTCTTTATTTTATATTATTAAATTAAACTATTACTTATATATATTTGACTAAACTAATATTTATATCTATTTAACAATTACCTTCTATAAAATTAATTACACAACACAGTATATAGTACAAATTATAACTTAATTACTGGGTAATATTTGTATTTAAATATATTAACTAGTAAATATATATAAATAAAGATATTACCCAGTAATTAAGTTATAATTTGTACAGTCTAACCTCTCTATAGTCATGCTCTTGGTTTCAAGAAATTCTGTGCTTATAAGAAATTGTGACTGTATAAAGGTAAAAATTTCTTATATTTTATATATATTTGTTCTAAAATTAGTGTGCTTATAAAGAGAGTATGATTATATAGAGAGTGACTATATGGAGGGCAGACTATACTATATATTATGAGGTATTATTTAATTAAAATATAATTTTTTAATCAGTTATAGTGCTAAGTTCGAACCTCTAGAATTGTTCATCAGTGTTAATGCTCTAAAAGAATCTTATACTACCTTGTTGACTCGTTCTTAACAATAGATAAGCAAGATTGTCTGTTATTTCACTCAATTATGATAAATATCTTATTTTTTTGAAAAAAACAATTATTACGATATTTAAACTTTGTTTAATAACTGCCTTTTTTTTGTTATACTGTATGATTCACGATTCTATCAGATGATAAAGTATTAATTTAATTTTAAACCAATTTTTATTTAAAAAAAAAATGATGTAAAACATATAAATTTATACTATTGACATATTTTTATTTATCAATGAATTTATGTCAAAATAATACATTATAATTCCAAAGTTTAAAAAAGTTTTAAGAAATGAGTTACTCCATTTGATCAAGCTTCAACTTCTAAATCCGGGACAATACCAATATTCTTCCACTTTAAACATTCAAGAAATTTCTCATCTAACTCTTTAACATCACAATTAAGAGTAATTGCAACAGCATTAATAGCCTTTGGAATATCTTGAAAAGATTTGTTTTCTGCTTTATTTGGTGTGTTTTTATTAAGTATGTAATTCTTAATAAAATCGCAAGAACATTCTATTGAAAATTGAGTAATTTTGTTGGGCACAAACTAATTACAATTGTAAAAAATAAAAGAAATTAAATATATATATAAGAAATAATAGAAAAAAGTAAATCAATATTTTTACACTTTTAGGTTATAATCACTGTCACTCTGGTACATGCATAATTTATAATATACTGTATATACATACGTACAAGGATATGGAAATACCAATTCCCTATAAAAATTTAGTATAAAGCATAACTCACACTTTGAAAATAATGACATGCTTCTTTATAAACTTCAAGAATTACTTTAGTTAACTCTTTGAATGGTAAATTAGCAAAATTTGTTGTAGTGTATTTAGGTAATTGAAATTTACTTGGATCGAAAGCTCTGAAACTGAATAAAATATTTGAATTCAGAAATCTTTCACTATCACCTACTTGCTATTTTTAACAGTAAATATAAAATATAAAAGTGATTAACAAACATAAAATTAATATGTGCAAATAATTTATAATCTAATTGCTTACATATAAAATGGGTAGCAGATTTTCTAAACTTTCAGCCAACATTGGACTAACATAAGGAATGGCTATAGCTTCATTTGCGCAATATAAATTAAATCTTGGAACTTTGGTAAAAGAAGGATGACTAACTACTTTTGGTTGTTTTTGCTTAATTTTTTCTAAGAGAATTTTTACATGTTCGAGATATTCAATTGCTATAGAGGTTGATAGGCCAAGCGTATGAAGATCTAGTTTGCCACCAACAATATCAGTTTTATCTATTTCAGGATTCGAAAATGATGGCATGCTACATGTCAAATCTATCTATAGTGACTTTTGCATATATTTATTTATTAAAAGAGATGTTACTAATCTGATTAAATAAATTAAGAAAAGGATTTATATATATTTATTTGGTTACTTAAAATGTTTGGTGCATATCTATAAAACAAGTTCTGATAGCGATAGTAAACTAACTTCACAAATAAATAATGCAGTAGCTAATCCACCACTAGCACTAAATCTGGCAAATACAATTTTTTTAGAATCAATTAGTTTAAATCCTGCTTTTGGTCCAGGGTTGATAAGATATAGATATGCTGCTAAAGCATCACAAAGTAGAGTAGAAAATTGATGTTGTAGTGCAAGATGATAA